GTTTTACCTTGTTCGTTGTCAAAACTCAGGGCTTTTTTTGGAGCAGGAACTCCTTTGCATGTTAGGCCACACACCCCTAATGTAGCGAATCCTAATGAGTTCCTGCTGTTGGTTGTGGCCTATTATGCTAATGAGTTCCTGCTGGGTGTGGCCAACTCGGGAGCCAGCCGGAACTCCCTTCCTGTGCGTTCCTGCCCAAAAATAGCCCCGGGGAGGAGACAACTCAGAGGTGATATGATAACCATCTTCAAGAGCCAGTGGTTAAGTGGGCGGACTCTGATCTGGGAGAGCCGGGTTTGTTTCCCCACTCCTCCACTTGCACCTGCTGTGTGACCATAGTTCTGTCAGAGCTGTTCTCTCAAGGACAGTTCTGGAAAGAGCTCTCTCAGCCCCACCTACCTCAAAGGGTGTCTGTTGTGGGAGAGGGGAAGGGAAAGGAGATTGTAAGCTGCTGTGAGACTCCAAGTGAAGGGTGGGTTATAAATCCAATCTCTTCTTCTCTTCTCTCCTTACTTGAAGGGATGTTATATAGAGGATGGTGCAGAGTTGTTTTCTGTTGCCCCAGAAGGTCGGACCAGAACCAATGGGTTGAAATTAAATCAAAACATTTTCGGCTAAACATTAGGAAGAACTTCCAGACAGTTAGAGAGGTTCTTCAGTGGAACAGGCTTCCTCAGGAGGTGGTGGGCTCTCCCCCTTGGGAGGTTTTAAAACAGAGACTAGATGAGCATCTGTCAGCAAAGCAGATTCTGCGCACTTGGGCAGATCCTGATAGGGAGGGCAGGAAGGGTTGCCTCAGTGTTTGGTTCTTGTGGCCCTTTTTTACATGCCCAGGGAAATACCAATCGCCCCTTTGGGGTCAGGAAGCAATTTTTCTCCAGGACAGCTTGGCCAGGGATCCTGGAGTTTTTTTTGCCATCTCCTAGGCATGAAACAGGGGTCAAGTGGGGGTGTATCCTGAGGGTATGGCGACATAGATGAGCTAGTGTGACAAAGGTGTGATGGGATTCATGTTGCTGGACAACAGAACTGTCTGGCGTTTTTTAGGCAAACTGGCTGGAGTTTCCCAAGTACCCATCACAAAAGGTGTGAGATCTTTCCTAATAGGTGTCTTCAGTTGAAACTGAAAGTTAATGTTTTCCTTGATAGCCTGGAATAAAGCTGAGGAAATGCAGATGCAGGACAAACAACTGGAAGAGTCTGACAGGAATGATTAGCCATAAGGGAGAAACACCCATTGAATCCATAGTGTGACAGGATTTGAGACGAGGAAATTGCTTGCGAACATAATCCATTCATACCAGAGGAGATGGGCTAGATGCGTTGTTCTTCTGTCTGCATCCTGGCAGACAATAGCATCTTAGCCATTAGTTGTGAAACCTTGGGGCCGGAGGCAGTGATTATCCAGCCTTTGTTCCACAGAGGAGTAGAGAAGAAGGAGGGGGGGGGATTTGGGGAGGAATTTGGCAACACTGCTGCTAGCCCTGTCACTGAGTCTGTGTGTCTTGACAAGACAATGTCTCTTAGTCTCCTCAGCAAGTCACCTCTCATGCCGAGCCCAGCTATTGGCGTGCAGTGCTGTTAGGCGGTTCAGAGGCTTTCCAAGGTGTTGGTGTAGTGGTTAAGTGTGCGGAATCTAATCTGGGGAAACCGGGTTTGATTCCCCACTCCTCCCATTGCAGCTGCTGGGTGACCTTGGGCAAGCTGTAGTTCTGACAAGAGCTGTCCTTGAAAGGGCAGTTCTCTCAGAGCTCTCTCAGCCCCACCTCCCTCACAGGGTGTCTGTTGTGAGAAGGGGAAGGGAACGGAGTATGTAAGACGCACTGAGACTCCGAGTGAAGGGTGGGGTATAAATCCAATCTCTTCCTCTTCCTCTTCCTCCTCCTCCTCCTCCTCCTCTTCTTCTCCTCCTCCTCCTCCTCCTCTTCTTCTCCTCCTCCTCCTCCTCCTCTTCTTCTCCTCCTCCTCCTCCTCCTCTTCTTCTCCTCCTCCTCCTCCTCCTCTTCTTCTCCTCCTCCTCCTCCTCCCATGGAAAGACCACCCCTGTTGGAGGGCTGTGGACCCTGTTACAAGGTCATCCATTACCTTTGGTGCTGACCCTGTCCAGCTGGTGATACTTAGGAGATCCCCCACAAAGGTGGCTTGGAACGATTCTAAATACATAAAAGAATTGACATAAAATACAGACACCCCAAAGCTACTCTTTCCTTTCTGTCTTTACAGACCCTTAGATCTGCTGGCAAGATCTACATGCTTTTTTTTATGCTGGTTATCTTCCTGGGATCATTTTATCTCGTCAACTTGATCTTGGCCGTGGTGGCCATGGCATATGAAGAGCAGAACCAAGCCACCATCGCCGAGACGGAAGCCAAAGAAAGGAAGTTCCGGGAAGCCATGGAGGCACTGAAGAAAGAGCAGGAGGTCGGTAGAGGTTCCCATTAGTGGTTTCCTTTGGTTGTATATCAGGCATATTGTAGACCTGTATTTCTTCGATGCAGATGGCTTATTGTTGCCAACCTCCAGGTGGGACCTGGAGATCTCCTGGAATGACAACTGATCTCCAAATGATGGAGATTTGTTCACCTGGAGAAAATGGCTACTTTGATGGTAAGGTACAAGGTAAAGTTTTCCCTTGCTCGAGAGCCAGTCAAATCCGACTCTAGGGATGCGGTGCTCATCTCCGTTTCCAAGCCGAAGAGTCAGCGCTGTCCAAAGACATTTCTGTGGTCATGTGGCCGGCATGACTAGACGCCAAGGCGCACGGAATGCTGTTACCTTCCCACCGAAGCAGTACCTATTTGTCTACTTGCAATTTCTTGCTTTCGAACTGCTAGGTTGGCAGGACCTGGGACCAGAGACGGGAGCTCAATCCGTCATGCGGCACACTCGGGTCTCGAACTGGCGAACTACCGACCTTCCGGTGTGGAGTTCAGTGTCTTAACCACTTGAGCCACCGCTTTGATGGTAGACTATAGCAATTTACCCTGCTGAGGTCCCTCCCCTCACCAAACCCCGCCCTCCTGAGGCTCCACCTGAGGCTCCACCCCCAAATATCCAGGTATTTCTCCGCCAGGAGATAGCAACCCTAAAAGGGTGGTCTTGGATCCAGCAGTGAGCGGTTCTGCTTATGCAAGTTCCTGCACAACACCTAACTCTGTCCTCCCTGTGTATCGTAGTGTCCAGAAATGGGTTGCACAAGATTTTGATGAAGAGGGAACACAAATGAGGATACAATAAGGTTGGCTTAGTGCAAATGGCTACCGTGGTCTGGGCACACTTCTGCTTGTGCAGGAGCTCTACCACAAGCGGAAATTATGTCTGGGATCCGGCCCAGTGCTTTCTGTACAGGGATATGGGCATGTCTCCTGCCACGCCGCCCAGCAAAGTAAGAAGTCTTCCTCCAGAGTAAAGGGGTTTCCCTCCAACCTAAGTGGCTCTAGCAGAAGGAGCCACTTAATTTTGAGAAAGGCTCTTTAGGCTGAAGGAAAGCTTCAATGGAGGTGACCAATACAATACAAGAACTCCTGGGCACTCCATGAAATTGCCGAGCGATCGGGTTAGAACAGATAAAAGGCAGTCCTTCTTCGCCCAAAGAGTGATGAACACACGGAATTCACTGCCATGAGAGGTGGTGGCAGCTACAAGCATGGACGGTTTCAAGCGGAAACTGGAGAAACATCTGGAGCAGAGGTCCATCAGTGGCTATTAGCCACAGGGTATAGATAGGAGCTCTCGGTCTAGGGCAAGTATTCTTGGTGCTTGGGGGGAGGGGCAACAGTGGGAGGGCGTCTAGTGTCCGGGCCCCGCTGGTGGACCTCCTGATGGCACCTGGTATTTTTGGCTACTGTGTGACACAGAGAGTTGGACCGGATGGGCCACTGGCCTGATCCAACACTGGCTCCACAATCCATGCCAGAGCTTGAGTCGGGCCAGCCTTTATTCCCCTGCAGCCCATTGGCTGTCAAAGGATGAGCCGAGTACCAGGATACAGGCCATCGCTTCTATGGGAGAGAAATCGTGCACGTGGCACATGCACCACGGTGTGCCCAGCAAATGTGTGTGTGTCCTTGTGGCCCCAGGCTGTGGTGCTCCGCTTCCCATGCCATTGCAGCACATGACAAAACAGATGTGTCTGTGCGTATCATGTACAAAGACCTGACTTGGATTGGCCAGGCGCTAGCTGATCTCGTCAGATCTCAGAAGCAATGTTCCCTCTAAGCTGCGGAGTCTTGTGAGCAAAAATTCTACTTTGGGAGCCGCTGGCATTAAAGTTGTGAGCGAGGCATTTGGATGCTGCATAAATCAGTTTGCTCTGGAGCCCTCCCTCCTGAGCTAAGACAAAAGTGTGTGAGCTGGAGGCTAAAAAACTGTGAGCTAGCTCACACTAGCTCAGCTTAGAGAGAACACTGCTCAGAAGTTAGCAAGGGTTGGCCCTGCTCAGTGCTTGGATGGGAGGCCACCAAGGGAGTCCAGGGTTGCTATTCCAGGGCGGGCAATGGCTAGCCCAACCTCATCAGATCTGGGAAGCTGAGTGGGGTCAGCCCTGGTTGATACTTGGATGGGAGACCCCCAAGGAAGTCCAGGGTTGCCACAGAGAGGCAGGCGATGGCCGACCACTCCTGAACATCTCTTGCCTTGAAAACCCTACAGGGTCCCCAGAAGTCGGCTGCGATTGGATGGCGCCTTCTGCCATCATCACACACAAATAATAAATGGGTATTTCACCCTTTCCCCCCTTCTGCATGGCTGTGACATGATGTTGGGATGTGCCGTCAAGTTGCAGCCAATGTATGGCGAACCCCGTAGGGTTTGCAAGGCGAGAGACAAACGGAGGTGACCAAGGACCTCCCCACAAATCCGTGCCAGAGCCTGAGTCTGGCCAGACCTTCTCCACTGAAGCCCATTGGCCGTCCAAGGGCCTGGGAAACGGCCAACTGTGTGCCGAGGACCCAAAGGTCCACCCCGACCGTCTCCAAACACTGGAGTGGAGGCGGAGGTCAGCTCTCTACTAGGACCCTCCGCCTTTCGAGAAATCTCTGCCTCTCCCCGGAAAGCGGAAGCAACCGTGCATGTTATTTCTGCTGATACAGTGTCGGCGAGCAAAATCTTATCCCACAAAGCAGCAGGGCCCGCTGTGACTGGGGATCCAGAGTGATAAACACAAACGGCGAGCTTAACGCCCCCCACGTCTATAATACGGCGATAAGATGGACTTTTCTTCGCTGCATGCCCGGGCAGCCTGCTCTCTGCGTCAGCTATCTGGAGAAATCACGGCAGGGAGAGACTGATAACACCAAGAGGTGCTAGAAATCAAGCCGGAGCCAAATTAGAAAAAAAAAATATAATAATACTAATAATAATACTACAGGGTCTGGAAGGGGGGGGGGAACTGACAAGCCAGCAACAACATGACAATAATCCTGAAGAAGGAAGCAGGTGACCAGGCGAGGCAAAGCAAAAAATGAAAATGAGAAACCAGGAAAACACTGGAACTCCCCCCCCCCTCCTGAGTCATTTCTCAACCAAAACAACCCATTATTCCAAAGTGGTTCATCCAGTGGGATGCAGTGGAAACAGGCATGCCGGTTTGCTCTCGCTTTTAAACTAGTCATGCTTTTTTTAAAAAAACCCACAAAACCTCAATCTAGCATAGTGTAAGGAAGGGGATTTCTTTTTCCGAAATTCACTTTTTAAAGAGACATTCTTGTCATTCCCCTCTTTTGGAGGAGAGCCAGTTTGGTGTAGTGGTAGGGATCCCAAGTCCCCCCGGGGGGCGGGGAAACCCCTGCCCCAGAGGCCCATTCCCCGGCAACACCGGATCGGGCCCCGGGGGAAACTCCACCCTGGTTTTCCCTTGTATGGCCGTGCCCCCGCCCCCAGCGTGCCTGGCGTCCTCCCGGCACTTCCGGGTGACGCGTGCACCAGACGCCGGCCGGGAGCCCCCCACTTCCGACGAAGATCAACTTGGCAACCCTATGTAGTGGTTAAGTGCACGGACTCTAATATGGGAGGACCGGGTTTGAGTCCCCACTCCTCCACTTGCACCTGATGGATGACCTTGGGCAAGCCATCGTTCTGGCACAGCTGTTCTTGGAAAAGGCCAGTTTCTGTCAGAGCTCTCTCAGCCCCACCTCCCGCACAGGGTGTCTGTCCTAGGGAAGGGGAAGGGAAAGGAGTCTGTAAGCCGCTCTGAGATTCCCTTTGGGTAGTGAAGGGCAGGGTATAAATCCAATCTCCTCTTCTCTTCTCTTTTGTGTCTGTGTCTTTTAAAAAGAGAGTTTTCGTTCTAATTTCTCTTTGGTTTCTCTTGCAAGAGTAGTCAACACACCTTTTTTGGGAACTTGAAAACATAGAAACACAGAGCTGGAAGGGACCTCGAGGGTCATCTAGTCCAACCCCCTGCACAATACAGGAGAGTCTCAACTACCTCCCCCTCCACACCCCCAGTTCTGCTCTGAAGCCCGGAACAAGGCCTTCTCCTTCATCCCCAAAGAGCACGCTGGCTAGCCTCTGAGAAGGGCGGCACCATCATCGGAATTAGGATCCGGCCTGTGGATTGTTGTAGTCCTAATAGGCCAGACTAGTTCCCATCTGTCAGAGCTCAGAAGCTAAGCAGGGGTCACCTCTGGTGAGTACTTGGATGGAAGGCCACCAAGGAAGTCCAGGGTTGCTATGCAGAGGCAGGCAGTGGCAAACCACCTCTGAACGACTCTTGCATTGACCTGAGTGGCCCAGGCTAGCCCAGTCTCATCAGATCTCAGAAGCTAAGCAGGGTCAGTCACGGTTTGTACTTGGATGGGAGACCACCCGGGAAGTCCAGGGTTGCTGTGCAGAGGCAGGCAATGGCAAACCACCTCTGAACGACTCTTGCATTGACCTGGATGGCCCAGGCAAGCCCAGTCTCATCAGGTCTCAGAAGCTAAGCAGGGTCAGCCCTGGTTAGTACTTGGATGGGAGACCACCAGGGAAGTCCATGGTTGCTACGCAGAGGCAGGCAATGGCAAACCACCTCTGAACGACTCTTGCCTTGACCTGAGTGGCCCAGGCGAGCCCAGCCTCATCAGATCTCAGAAGCTAAGCAGGGTCAGCCCTGGTTAGTACTTGGATGGGAGACCACCAAGGAATCCCAAGGTTGCTGTGCAGAGGCAGGCAATGGCAAACCACCTCTGAACGACTCTTGCATTGACCTGGATGGCCCAGGCGAGCCCAGTCTCATCAGATCTCAGAAGCTGAGCAGGGTCAGTCACGGTTAGTACTTGGATTGGAGACCACCACGGAAGTCCAGGGTTGCTATGCAGAGGCAGGCAATGGCAAACCACCTCTGCCAGGCCCTTGCCGTGAATATCCTTCGGGGTGGCCAAGTCGGCTGAGACCCGACGGCACTTTCTACCACCATGTGCCTGGAACCAGCTGTAGACTTGGGCAGGCAGGGGAGACCAAGACAGCCTTAGGAAAGGGCCAGGCCTCCTCTCACCCCCACGCCTCCTTCACTGATAGAGGGCCAAAGAGTCAGGCTGAGAGTATGAAGGGACCATTGCACTCCTCGCTGAATTTATTTATTTATTTATTTTGGTATTTATACCCCGCCCTCCCCGCAAGCGGGCTCAGGGCGGCTGACAAGAGGGTAAGGTATGCCCATACATAAAAACAGGATAAAAACAGTAAAAGCCAACTAATAATACAAATAAAGTGCTCAAATTTAGACAAGATGGTCATTCGTTAGAGGTAGGTGGTTATTCATGGAGGTAGGTAGTGTCCAGTAGATGTTAAAGTGTCCGGTCCAACGGTACCAACCCAGCGCTGTATTGTGGCCAGATCTTCCGTAGGGCCGTAGTGGTGGTGGAGGCTCCTAAATAAAAGCCTGGTGGAAGAGCTCCGTCTTGCAGGCCCTGCGGAACTGTACCGCAGTGCTGCTTCTCAATAGCTCAATAACTGGCAGCAGGGGCAACAGCTGACCCAATGCTTGGTTGCCTCGTCTTTCCCCGTGTGTACCCTGTGCAGGCCCTGGCTTTGATAGCACAGGCTGGCCAGATCTCATCAGATCTCAGAAGCTAAGCAGGGTCAGTCACGGTTATTCCTTGGATGGGAGACCATCAAGGGAGTCCAGGGTCACCATGCAGAGGCAGGCCATGGCAAACCACCTCTGAATGACTCTCGCCTTGAAAACCCTACAGGGTCACCAGACGTCAGCTGTGAATTGACAGCCCACTGTGCCTTTTCAGAACCTGCTCTTGGCCCAAGGCTTGGGGATATTTCCTCCCTTCTGAAAGAAGGGGGCCATGGCTCAGTGGTAGAGCATCTGCCTGGCATGCAGAAGGTCCCAGGTTCAATCCCCGGTATCTCCAGTTAAAAGACCTGGCAGGAGGTGGTGTGAAAGACCTCAGCCTGAGACCCCAGAGAGCCGCTGCCAGTCTGAGTAGACAATACCGACCTTGATGGACCATCTGATTCACTATAAGGCAGTTTCACATGTTCAGGAAGGCAAATCTGACATCATTTTCAAAACCGCGTCTGCTCACTACGGTAACTATGAGTGACCCCCCATCCTATGCAGGGGGAGGAGGTTCGTTCATGCTAATCAGTGCTATTGTATCACACCTGTGCGCTGATGCGCCTACCTCATTCTCGGTGCCTTGTTTTATTTGCACAAGAGCAACAAACCGGGCCTGTTTGAACAGCTGACCCCACCTATTCTCCCTCTCTCGGAATAATGGGAGACTAATGGCTGTTTGAAGTTGGAGGATCAATAAAGCCAATCTGAAAAAGAATGCTAATTAATTTGAACTAATGGCAAGGGCGGCAAACAGAGAATGAAAAGCCATTAATTTCCCTCTGGTAAGCGTGGGAATATCTTTTGAAGGAGGTGATCATAATAAAATTGCCTGTTTTTAACGGGCGTTTCAGACCACACTCGCCGAAAATTAACACATTACACGGCGGAGGGATGGTCGCAGCCACTGCCCACACGTGCCGATTTTGTTATCTGGATGTCACAGCCCCCACCCCACCCCGACCTGGATGGCCCAGGTTAGCCCGATCTCATCAGATCTCAGAAGCTAAGCAGGGTCAGTCACGGTTAGTACTTGGATGGGAGACCACCAAGGGAGTCCAGGGTTGCTGTGCAGAGGCAGGCAATGGCAGACCACCTCTGAACGTCTCTTGCCTTGACCTGGATGGCCCAAGCTAGCTTGATCTCCTCAGATCTCAGAAGCTAAGCAGGGTCAGTCACGGTTAGTACTTGGATGGGAGACCACCAAGGGAGTCCAGGGTTGCTGTGCAGAGGCAGGCAATGGCAGACCACCTCTGAACGTCTCTTGCCTTGACCTGGATGGCCCAAGCTAGCTTGATCTCCTCAGATCTCAGAAGCTAAGCAGGGTCAGTCACGGTTAGTACTTGGATGGGAGACCACCAAGGGAGTCCAGGGTTGCTGTGCAGAGGCAGGCAATGGCAGACCACCTCTGAACGTCTCTTGCCTTGACCTGGATGGCCCAAGCTAGCTTGATCTCCTCAGATCTCAGAAGCTAAGCAGGGTCAGTCACGGTTAGTACTTGGATGGGAGACCACCAAGGGAGTCCAGGGTTGCTGTGCAGAGGCAGGCAATGGCAGACCACCTCTGAACGTCTCTTTCCTTGGAAACCCGAGGGGGTCACCATAAGTTGGCTGTGACCTAGTGGCCCTTTCCAGCACCACCCTGATCAAATCAATGTCTCCTGGGATTGTCATGGGGCCACGTCTCCAGTTGGCTTGGTGGAGGACTTGCATAGCCTTCCCTCCACTGGGCATCTCTTGTTATGTGATAGGTGGGCACTCGGTGGTCTCGGAAGAGGCTCATTGTGTGGTGGCTTGATTTGTACAATCTCCTCTTTCTTTTCCTGGGGAGAAAGAATAATGCTGTTCAGGCCATTGTGCATGCAAGCCTTCCTATGCGTTGTCTTGCTCAGACATGGTATTGTATGCGTGTGTGTGGCAGAAGTGAAGAGTCATGGTGACTGCCCATTGAGAGCGTGGATCAAGCCCAACTCCCTGTCTAAATTCCTTCTTTTGGCTTCTTCTGAAAGTCCTCAGATGTCTTCCCTGATGAGAAACACCCCCGTTGGCTTTGCATTTCGCATTGGGTGAGATCCAGCAACGTCTTGAGCTGGGCAGACAATCAAGGGGAGCCTGGGTTGTTAAAAAGTTGTGCATGTT